TTGCCAGGAAGCAGACCACTCTATAAAAAACACAACGTTGTTTCTTTGTCATTTTCAGCCTCTGACCTCTCTGATGATTTATCTTAATAGTCACCTAAAGATTTGACAGCTACTTTCTTAAATGCTTTGGACCAATAAGTCTTCCAGTTGTGGATGAGGAGCTCTGAGTATGTTTGGTGGCACACTTTTTATTATCTGGTAGTTACAACTCTGCCTTAGCCTTTACTTTCCACTGTAAGAGCCTCAAGGTTATCAGGAAAAAAACCAAAAACAAACAAACAAAAAAACACATGATATTGAACTCACCTAGTCTCTAGATTGACTCTAGAGAGGGCCAGGGGTCCCAGACTATCATGCTCTTTCAAAAAGCAGCAGAGTTTTTGTCCTAGGGATTCAAAACCATCTCTATAAATATAGCCAGAGCAAAGGCTTAATGTGCAGACCTGAACACATGGTCTTGCACCTTAGCCTCAAGCACCTTTGTTTTTGATGCATAAAATGTGAGCTCTATTGTCAGCTTTACTGAATGATGCTGAGGGTTACTCTTGGTGTAATGGAAAGAGCCTTGGCTTTGGGACAAACAGACCTGGGTTCAAATTCTGGCTGTATCACCAGCTCTGTGGCCTTGGGCAAGTCAATTAACTCATCTAAGCCTCTGTTTCTTAGTGGAAAATGCAGATATTAACACCTGCTTTCAATATTCTTGCATCAGTAGACAAGTAGCTCATACTTCACATGTAGTAGGTGTTCAATAAATGATCGCCATTTTAATCTCTCCTTGTTAATTTTGTTTCACATTAGCATTGGATTATAATTTTCTAAGGAAAACTAAGGCCAAGATGGCGATGGTTTGCTTCAAACAGCAAGGCCTCCTCACTGTTCCTTAAGGATACCAAAAGCATCCCTCTCGCTCTGCTTTCATGGTTTTCCTGCACCTGGAGGACTCAAGCCTTGCGCATTGTGATGCCTCCCTCCCTCTCCCCCCCTTTAAATCCCATCTCTTCCATGGAGCTTTCCTTCACTATTTCTTCATCACAAACCCACAAATTATAAAACACCATCCTGTTATGTTAAGTCTTATTCCATTGGAATTTCTCATTTCTCCACATAGATTGTAGCTTTTTTGAAAGCTCTCTATAAATACAAACTAATTGACTGATATGACATTTGTCCATCACCATACCTAATATGCAGCCACCAAATGGAGGCTTGTGAATGAAGAATTACAACCAATATTTTCTGAGCAGTGTTTTGTTTGTTTTGGGTTTTTTTTGTTTTTCTTTTTTTTTTTTAAGCCAGACACCTACAATTAAGGATAATCTATTTTAATTTTCCATGAAGTAGCTATTGTTGAATCTCAGTTTTACAGATGGGGGCACCAACACCTCTGTCCAAGTTCATGCAGCCAGTAAGTAGCTGAGCTAGGATTTGAATGCAGGCAGACCGGGTGCAGAGGCTGAGTTTAGACTATGTATAGGTGAGGCTATGGATGGAGAAAGCTATCAGAACATTAGAAAACACCCACTGACAGAGTTCCACAAACAGGGGTTGGTACAGTCAAGTCATGAATTGTTTCCGTTGAGCTTCATAAACTCCCAGGTCTTTTTTTCTCATTTGTGGCATTAACAAGTCTGTTTAGATCACGGATATCTGCATTTAGAGAAACCAGCCTCCCATCCGAATCGTCGGCCCTCCATCCATATCAGAGCTGGAACTGGGCCCTGAAACTCGCACTTGCTTTGTCTGTATCACCACCTTTCCAGGTCATTAAGAACAAAGGGTTTGTGGACAGATAAAACACAGGCTGTTTTTGTTCTGCTTCTGCAAACACCTATGCCTGCTTAATGCGGACTGGATGGCGTTGATTGGAGTCTGTGCTTGTAGATTTTTATAAAACAACACATACCGGAATCTAGCACCTTCTTACAATAGCACAACCATGATTAAGCAATTCCTTGGAGAGGACCCTGTGCTATTACACCAAATATTTATAAATTTATCTCACCACACTGCTCAGCATTCAGAGTAAACCCGAGCAGAAGTCTAGAGATCAAAGAATTTAATGATCAAAAAATGCCCTTTCATGCTCCATCTGTCATCAAATGAAAGTATTAGTGAAGTGGTATGGAAATCCTCTTCAGCATGCCTGCAGCCACCAGCCATGCCACTGAAGATCTAAAACAATGTGACCAAGCGTTCAGAATCCACAGAATGGAGTTGTACCTATACGTTAGTATATTATTTCCAAGTTACCAATTTCCCCGAGATTAGCACATGTTCGTTTCAGCTTTATTAAAGGAGTCAGAACCTGAAAGGGGATTTAGCACAGTGATGATGTCAGCCATGCTTTCTTGCCATCATGGCATGGTTTATTTGGCTCAGGGCAGCCATGCATATGAACCCAACAAAGCGTCTCTAGGACGAAAAGTCAAGCCAAGTGCAATTGATTGATGAAAAGACAAGAAATACAATTATGTAGTGAAACCACAGCTCTCTGGTCATGGGTGGGAATTTCAGACCCTTGATTTGATTTCATGTGGCCCTATAGTTGCAAAAACACAGTAAGTACAGTATCAGTTACACAGCAAGTGCTTTATTATGGCATTACTGGAATGGCTTGGATAAGCCCAGCATGGTGTTAAGCATTGTAGGGACACAGCCCAGTGCAGAAGACATGGCCCTGGTCACTCCAGGAGATACCTACTGTTGTGGAAAGCCATAGTTTTCATGAGAGCACACCTTGCCCATCAGAGTACTGGGATGGAGGAAGGCTAGAATCCAGTGGTCCAAGAATTTACTCGCTAGTTGGATTTACCAACACGTGGAATTCTCACAGAAAAATGCAGAACAAAATGTAATGGAATCCCCAAATCTTGGTGTTAGAAGGAGCCAGAGAAGTTGCCTAGTCTAGTAGTTCCCCAACCTCACTGATCAATAGGAGCTATCTGGGGAATTTAAAACTAAACGAACATTCCCAGGACCCATCCCAGAGTTAGAAGCTCTGATAGAGGGGCCTGGGAATCTGTATGTTTTAAAATGCCCCCAAGGGATTCTGCTGCTCAGCCAGCTCATTTGGTTCATCCCCTCAATGAACAAAGAGGGTTTCTATTAAAAACCCTGCAAAGCAATCATCCAGCCAAGGCTGGCAACCTCAGGTTGGAAGGAACTCACTGCAGAAGAAGGCAGCAGGATCCATGATGGACAGAGGGTTGGAGTTCTTAGAAGTCTTTCCTAGATTGGAATAAAAGGGGCCTCACTATATCTTCTACCTGTTGGTCTTGTTGGGCCCACTATAGTAAAAGATTGAATTTACCAACATGGTAATTCTCTAATTGATTACCAGCATAGCAATCCTTGAAATGTTTTAAGAGAGTTCCTCTTCAGTTCGTTCCTTTGTTTGATAGCTCATTCATTCATTCATTCATTCATTCATTCAGTTCAGACTGTCAGCATCATTAAGAGTAGATTTATTGAGGCTGACCATTGCCACTTCCTTCGGCCACTCTTCATAGGCCTTCACCCCCATTTGCTTACTCTACATCCATGTCAGTGTCCAATATGGTGCCCAGAATTGGATACCACACTGACCATGTGGTTTGACCACCAGTGTCCAACAGGAGCTACAGGAGTGCTTTTTACCTGTGTCCTGCTTCTATTAGAGTGTTGTAAGGATAACCAAGGGCCCAAATTGGTGCAGATGGAAAGCTTCATAGCTGATCAGGAAGGGAAAAGGTCAGTGTTGGCTGAACTTACCAGGCATGAATCAGGTTCTAGAGAATTAGTAAACTTTGGAATGGAAGAGAGGTGACATCCTTCCATTATTCCAAGTGGAGAAATAAAGTTTCATTGAATACCTGGAAAATTGCTGCACAGACCTCAGTAGGCATGCATTATCTCGTCTGTAGGCTAAATAGAGGCTCTCACCACATCACTGCTCCCTATGTATAGGATCAGCTCTGACAACCACACTGAACCATGGGGGTATGAGAGGACAGCTTTGCTTTCGTCTCTGTGTAGTGTGATCAATGTAAATATTTCCATCTAAAGCAGGTGTTTTCTTCCCACAATTGAAGGGAAATATTGATATACCTTCTCTACTTAGGGTCAGCTACCTGGTATTTGCTTATCTTTAAAACTGTCACTAGAACTTTGCATATTCTTTGGAAAGAAAAGAAAAGGTAAGAAAATAGAGACTATTGTGATGTGGACAGCTGGTTGTAAAGTGAACAAGTCAGCTAACTGATCAGTTGTTGCATGTAGACAGACTGAAAAAAGTTCCCTTGATTGCTTTTCACTGAATAGATGGTTATTTTAACATTAGTGTGGGTACATTCTAATCCCCTGATTGATTAGCAGGATTTCTTTCTAAATAGAATTAAACAAGCAGGCAAAGAAACAGAAAACAAAGAGAAAACAGCAACAACAATAGCAGCAGCAATAACATGGTTCAAGGATTGACCAGGACTGCAGGCTTTATTTACAACACGAGTAGGTGCATGAGCCTCCTGGAAATCAGACCTCAGGTGTGACCTCTGTAGGTGATTCTTTTCATGCTGGGCACTGGAAATAATCAGGTGATGTCTGAGTTTCTTCAGTCAGAGTAGCAGCTACATGGAACCAAGAGGAAGCCAGGTATTGGGAAGTGACCCTGAGGTACCAGACACTGACACTCCGATGATGCCACGTAGCAGTGGTGATGCAAAAGCACTGCTGTACTTTTCACGGGCAAAGTTCCCCACCGAAACCCTCTTGATTCTCTAATTTCAAAGCAGAAACTAATGACAAGTTATTATTCCTAGTTAACTTTAAATGCTGCTCTTATTCATGGCAGGAGATCACTCTGGTAGTTAGCATTGTCAAGGAATAGCCTGTTGGGGGGCTATCCCCTGTATACTGTCGTCTCATGTGATAGAAGCTTCATAAGATGTTGATGACTCCTATAAAAGGAACATGTTGCATTGAACCAAAACGTTTCCCTTTCCCCTGGCTTTCATGTGCAGGTGGCAGTAACTTGAAGTTGTTCCCTGGGCTAAATGCAGCTCTAACAAGAGGCAGGAAGTGTTTATTTCAGTTGTATTGGGTAAGTCAGTTTGGTACAACTTTAGGTCACTTGAAACTTGGGGCATCCTGTCAAATAGTCATCATTTTAAACAACTGGAAGCAAATATCAGATATATGTGAATGAAGTTTATACCATCTCAACCAGCAGAATGCCAGGTTTTTTTTACTATTGGGGCAATTCTGATAAAGTTAAAGCTTTCTCACAAGAAAATAAGCATCTACCCTCTGTGGCTTAGAGAAGATCATTATAAGAAACTGCCATCTGAAAACCCATTCTATATTTTCCATGTGACTATTGGTGTTGATGTAATGGGCCATTGTGATAAGAATTTGGTTGAGATAAATCTGAACTTGGGGAAAGACCACAAAAAGGTCATTACACTTGAGTAAGGCCTTGAACAATGGGAGATAAAAGGGAGGAGAAGGCCTATTAGGGGAAGGGGAAGAATGTGTGAAAATTACTTTTTTAAAAAAACAACGTTTTTCAGGTGCTAATTATTGTTAATTGCATAGGAAAATTTTCATTATTAATTATAGTTATTATTCAGATGAGACTCATTTTCTGTTAATTGACAGGTAAGTCTCCAATAAAAACAAAGATCCTTTTTATTATCTGTCCCTCCCTTTCAATAATACATAGTTGACAGGTCAATGACACCAATTAAGCCTCTGCCTATCATCCACATATGGCATGTCTGCTTAAGAGCTAGAAAGTACTTAAGAGCTAGAAAGTCAACTCACTGTTGACTGTTTTTAGTTTATTGTAATGATTGCTGTGCTTTCTTTGTGGAGAAATAAAATTGATGTAGTTAAGCTTCTCCAAGTAGTTGGATCTTTTCCTTGGTTCTACCAAGGAACTGTAATGGAGAGCGAGGGTTGCTTGTTCTTTTTTAAAGATAATAAGATATTAAGGCAGTGGAACTAGGGAAGAGATGGAATAACTTCAGGCTATCTTTTTCCAATCCATCTTGAACTCTGTTTCTAGAATAGTTTTTCTTCACATCAGCTTTCATTATGCCATTTTATAACTCAAAAGATTTCTAGAATTCTTTACTTCCCACCTGTGTGTTCAGAACCACCTCCCCATTGCTCCACTGCTACCCAATCTGTCTCCTACATCCAGAGTTTATGCACTGTTTCCTAGATAGTAAGTGTATTCACTGGCTCACTCCTACCCCACTCATCCCCACATGCAGTGTTCATGTTTGCTTACTGCTGCCCTGCAGGGCTGTGCTTCTAACTGGCCAGGGGCTCTCCTATCTCCCATCTTGCATTGTTCAAGGCTGTATTCAAGTGTGGTCTTTCTCCTAATTCAGATTTATCTCAACTAGATTCCTATAGCAGTGGCTAGTTCCATCAATACCAGTTGTATTATGGAAAATAAAATACAGAACGTGTTTTCATATAACCATTTCTTATGATCTTCTAATCTAAGCTAAGGCCTGGATAACAGTTATTCTTTAGTAGGGGCTAAGAAGATACGACTCAGATACATAGATATTACAATCTGAATTGATACAGAAGAGCTTAGCACATAATGATAGAGTATTTTGTGTTGTTCTATGGTTTCCTGTCTTTAATTCCTAGCTCCTGGAGACCAAAGCCATGGCTTATGTCATCTTCCATATCCCCAAGCACCTACCCAAGGGTTGGGTATCCAGGACATAGCTATTGAATGGATAGGTTAAGTTTTGAAACATATCTGATTATGTCATCCTCATGTGCACAAACCTTCTTTAATTGCCCATTGACTTCAACATAAAGCTTTAAATCTCTTTTCATGGAAAAAAAAAGATGTATGGGCCGGCCAAGTGGCGCGATGGTTAAGAACTGGCTTGGGGCACCAGAGGGCCCTGGTTCGGATCCCACATATGAGGGCCAGTGACACTGCCCTCTACAGCTAAGATGCTGAACAACAGCTCAACCTGGAGCTGGGCTGCCGTGAGTCGCCGGCGACGGCTAGGCTGCAGCCCCTGTGGCAGTGGGTTGCCATGGGCTACCGTGTGTAGCCAGCAGCCAGCGTGAGCGGCCAGCAGCCGCAGTGAGCGGCCGTCCAGAAGCCAGTGACTGATCTGCCTCACCCGGGAAGAGCGCAATGATGGTGCCAACTTGGGCCAGTGAAGCAACGTCCTCCACAACTAGACTGAAGAACAAAACCACAGCAACTTGTCTGTTCCCTTTCCCCCAATTCCCCAGCGCTGTTCCCATCCCCCCAATTCCCCAATAAAAATCTTAAAAAAAAAAAAAAGATGTAGAGGTGGGGGGGAAAGGCGGTGCTACAGAGTGTGGAGTGAGGACCCATGATACCCTCAGATGGCACATTGGAAAAATGGTTCATCCTGTCACTGGCACATCAAAGGCAAACTGTTCCAAGTCCCGTCTTTTGTTGGACACTCCTGTGACATTGATTCAAAAGCGATAGAATCTTTACACATATAAACAGCTAACAAATGATGGAGAATATGTGTCCAAACAAACCCATTTGGCAGGACATGCAGTGCTGCCGAGAGGAAGCCTCTGGCTATCCATCACACCTTGAAAGATGAACAGGGCAGGCCTAGCTTTCCCTTCAAAGGCAGGAGAATTTAGCGCTCTGGGAAAATGGAGCCCAATGGGAATTTCTAACACACGGTGTGGCCCTTCCGGCTTCTTAGTCATTATTAACTATTCTTACCCTAAATGGCCATGACATATAATCTCTTTCCTAATTTTATTATTTTATTTGGTATCGCAAGACCGTAACTTTTTAGACATTCAGGTGAGATTAAGGTAGGAGGAGGTGGAATAAGGCTTTTAAATCTTTTGATTACCTCACAAAACATATTTGCTTACTTTACCAGGAAGCTGGGGTTTTGTTTTGTTTTGTTTTCTACCGATGCCAAGAGGGGATTAATGAGTAGCCGCTGGATTTGCCAGCTTTCTTTTGATTCCAGCTTATGTAATTAAGCAGTTCCCAGAATGACTTAAGGTTCTCCCTCTGCATCAAAACATGCTTCTCAAATTTGTTAGGTGTGGAGGTCAGAAACAATCCAGACTCACAGAATGGAGGGAGGGGACGTGAAAAACTTATCTTGCTTAAAAATGTCCCTAACTAACTATGTAAAAAGGACTGATTATGCTTTTGGGGCCAGGCACACGGAGCCGCATGAGTAGAAAGCAGGTTAAAACTGAAGTTCAAAATGGGCTAAAGTTAGAATAACTTGAAATGAGGTTAACAATAGAAATAACACAGGGAAACCAACTATGGTTCCCCATTGATTTTCCAGCATCTAGAGCCTCATGCAATGGTGGGTGTTCAAAAACTCACACATTCAGCAAAGACATACCAGGAGCCCACTGTGTGCCAGGCTCAGTTCTGGTTGCTGGGGATACAGTAAGGATCTGAACTAACAAAAGTCCCTCCCCCTGATGCTTGCATGGAGTGACTGTTGGATGAGCAGATTTTTATCCAGTGCCTCCTTAGGAACAGAGTTCAGAGCCAGTGGTGATGGAGGAACCATAAGGTATGCTCCTCAAGAAACTGACCATCTCACTGGGAAGTGAAGACATCTGCCCATGGAACAAAAGTGCTGTTGAAAGGCCTAACTATATACGGGGTGCTGATACAGACAGACCCCGTGAGGGTGAAACAGCCAGACTAGGTACCCATCTCCAGATTCCTCAGGCAGGAGGTTCACTGCAGCAGGCCGACTTGTCTTCAACTCCCTAAGCAGTATGAATTTGCAGACACGGGGGCCGGCCGAGTGGCACGTTGGTTAAGAGCTGGCTTGGGACGCCAGCTCTGAGAAGCAGAGCCCTGGTTCGGATCCCACATGAGGGCCAGTGACACTGCCCTCTACAGCTAAGATGGTGAACAACAGCTCAACCTGGAGCTGGGATGCCGTGAGTTGCCGGCGATGGCGTAGGCTGCAGCCCCTGTGGCAGTGGGTTGCCATGAGCTACCGTGTGTAGCCAGCAGCCAGCGTGAGCGGCCAGAAGCCAGTGTGAGCTGCCAAGAACTGCTGTGAGCAGCCACCTAGAGGCCGGCAACAGATCTGCCTCACCCGGGAAGAGCGCAATGATAATACCAACATGGGCCAGTGAAGCGACATCCTCCATTAGACTGAAGAACAAAAGGACAGCAACTTGTCTATTCCCCTTCCCCGATTTCCTAACACTGTTCCCCTCTCCCAATTCCCCAATAAAATCTTTTTAAAAAAAAAGAATTTGCAGGCACAAATATCAAAGCACCCTTTGGTTTTATTTCTCTCTTATAACCCCCTAACCGTTTTCATTCTTTTACCCAGAGGATAACTGTTTTTAAAGGGAATTGTAGCAGCTTTTCTTTTGGGTTAGGCTAATTCCCGTACAAACCAACAGGGCAAAATTACCCACAGTTCCAACCCTCATAAAGCATACGGACTACTAGGGCAGAAAGACATAAATCGATTATACAAATAAAACGGCCACTGTGGTAAATGCTACAGTGGAGAGCATAGCACTTGCTAGAGGGATTTGACCTTGTCAGAGAAGTCATAGCTTCCTAGAAGACAAGATGGCTGCACTGAAATCTGAAGAATGAGGAGGGATTAACCATGTAAAGCGAGAGGGGAAAATATTCTCAGCAGAGGAGACAGCATGAGCAAAGACCCTGTGACAGGAAGGAGATTGCTCTTGGGGCAGCGAGAATACAGGACAGCTGGAAGTGAGATGACTCAGAAGAGGTGGGTAGGGTCAGACCATACAGGTCATATGGCACAGTAAGGAGTTTTCTATTTATTCCAGCAGGAAGCCTTTAACAGAAATCAGTAGAATGGGGGGGGGGGGGATACAATCAGATTTTCATTTCAGCAGGGTAACTGTCTATATTGTGATCTGCATTTGGTGGGGGAGCTAGAGTCAATGTAGGGAGCATTCATTAATAAAGGGAGTTTGGAAGAATCTAGACAGATGATAATCGCTTGGGCCAGAATGGTGGCCAGGATGGTGGAAAGGGACAGAAGTAGACCAATGTAACAGAGGTACAAAACAATAAATACAAAGGTACCATGGGTAAAAGCGATAGGGCTTGATGATGGATGTAAGGGATGAGGGACAGGAGGTATTAAGAATGACATTCAGGTTTCTGACTTGTGCAGTTGGCTGAATGGTGAAGCCCTGCCCTGAGACAGGCACCCTGGACAAGGACCAGTTTGCTGGGGGTGCAAGGAGATTATGAAGTCAGTTTTGAATATGTTGGGTTTGAGTGCCTTTGGGGCATCTAGAGGGAGATGTCAGAAATGCAGTTGGATAAATGGGTCTGCAGCTTGGAGGAAAGGCTTAGGATGGAGGTAGGCATTTGTGCCATCAGAGTCAAGGTGCGTTGCACACTATGGGTGTGGATGAGATCACTCAGAGAGTGAGAAAAGGGGAGGGCCTAGAACCCAGCCCTGTGGGATTCCAACACCTAATGGCCGGAGAGGAGACAACCTATAAGAGGAGGCAGAAAAAAACCCTGCTGGAAACATAGGGAGAAAACCAGCCTGAAAGCCAGGGGAAGCACACATTTGTTAAGAGAGGCCATGATCAGGGGAAAATGCTGCTGAAAGGACAGGAAAAAATAAAGACTTGATAATGATAATAATAACAGCTATAATGCCATCAGTAAAAATGGTAATAGACAATGTTTATAGAGCACCCATTATGAGCCAGGCATTTTAACATAATTTAATCCTCACAATAGCCTGTAAGGCAGGTCCTGTTAGTATCCTCATTTTTACAGATGAGAAAACTGGGCACCGAGAAATGAAATTATTTGCCTGAATCACACGGCCAGTCAGTGATGAGTTCAGGTGGGGAGCTCTTCTTTCTTACCCCACAGCCCCTGTTTCTTACATGCAGTATGTCTAGTGTGGGAGAATAAAAAGCAGCCAGGGAGGGAGAGTGGGGAGGGGAGGTTTTTCCTCTTTAGAGATCTGGATTCTTTCAAACATAGCCAAGGAAATCCTCCATGGTTGCTGAAGCCCAAGTCAAGTTGGTGACTCTGGAAGGGCATGGCAATGACAATTTCTGATGGTTCAGCTGGATTAGGGTAGCACTGAATACATGACACAGCTGTACTTGCCTTGTGAAAGGCTTTCCTCAAGGGCGCTAGGACAGTGGTTCTCAAAGTAGAGCCCCCAGGCCAGCAGCATGAACATCACCTGGAAATTGGGTGGTGCAGATTCTCAGCCTCCATCACCAATTATCTGAATCTGAAACTCGGCAGGGGACCCAGGAATCTGTGTTCTAACAAGCCTCTGTGTGATTCTATTGTACAAGTTTGAGAATCCTCATTCTTGGGGAATCCTTGAAAAGACAAAAAAAAAGGAAAATTTGAATAACTTATCCATATGTCTCACAGATGCAAATCACCTTGACATAAACCAGATAAAAGAGTCATTTGTTTTCAACCCTGGCTGCTCATTGGAATCCCATGAGGAGCTTTGAAAACTACTGATGCCTGAGCCCCACCCTCAGAAATTCTGGTTTCCTTGGGCTGGGGTTGGCCTGAGCATTCGGTTTTTGAAATGAGGATCTGAATGGGGGATGGATGATTGAATGAATGGTTGGCAAGGCAGCCTCTGTACTTCTAAGTACAAAACTGTGCTCTGGGGGAGAAAGCGAGGCAGGTTTGAAGGGGAAGGGCAGGACAGATGAAAGAGAAACTAGACCTCAGGCCCTCTGTGAATCCCAGTAAAGCTTGGAGATCATTCTGGAAATTGAGGTGCCGGAGAAGGTCGTCTGAATTTGTTGCAATTCTTAATGATGGATTTATTTTCAATGAGATGCCAGTAATAAAGTAGATATGCTATCAAGGCTGCTTTATGAATAAAGAAGTATTATTGTGACTTTTACTGTCTTACTGGAAATGATTCTGTGAATTTTGATTGAAAATAAGATGCTAACATTCGGCCGGGAGCTGCATTTAGGCTCTATATGTTAAGCATCCACTCTGCTCCGCTGGCCTCTCAAACATCACCGTTTCCACTTTGCTCCATGAACCCTCATCCCCAGCTGACCTGCTCAGGTTTCTAGTCGATCCCTAAGCATTCCACATCCTGGCATTTTTTCATGTGCCCTCACCCCCACCTCCTCCTTCTCTCAGGGCCTACTTCCATCTAGAATTCTCCATGGCTCCCCAGTTCGGAGAGCTCCCCTTTCTTCTAAGTCTTTCAGCACCCAGTATCTTTAAAACACTCTGCTCCTGTTTTGATTTCATCATCCTGCCCATTTCTCATCTCTACCCCTAAATCATAAGCCCCTCAAGGACAATGATGGCTTATGCCTAGCATAGCACCCCACACTCTGCAGACTTAGAAAACCATAGTCAAGAAACTGCACAAAGGTAAATGTTAGCCCATCTGCTTCCCCCAGTATCATGGATGTGGATGAAAAGGCACCAACCCCACTGAGATGTTCCTGTGGTTTGGCCATTCTGAAGGCTGAGGCAGGAATCCCAGAAGGAACGGCATCCAAAGTGAAAAGTGGCCCTCGTGGGAAGGGGCTCTCACAGTCTCATTATTCCATGCTATGTAGTACTTTCATAGGACTGCCTTAACAAATGACCACAGACTTGGTGGCTTAAAACAATAGAAGTGTATTCTCTCACAGCTCTGGAGGCCAGAAATCTGAAACCAGTGTCACTGGGCCAAAAGAAGGTGTCACCTACACCATGTTCCCTCCAGAGGCTCTAGGAGAGAGTCCTTTCTTGCTTTTTCCAGCTTCTGGCGGCAGCTGCCTTCCTTGGCTTGTGGCCACATCACTCCAATCTCTGCCTCTGTGGTCACATTGCCTTCTCCCTTCTCAAATCTCCCTATTACGAGGGCAGTTGTGATTGCATTTAAGGCCCACCCTGGTGATGCAGGATAATCTCCCATCTCAAGATCCTTAATGTCATCTGCAAGTCTTTTTTTTTTTTTTGCATCAAAGGGAACATTCACATAATGAATTGGGACATGGATATATTTTGGAGAGATCATTATTCAACCAACCACATATACAAAGGTAACTGGAGCCTCCAAAAGGGCAGACAGGTACTTGCCCAAGGCCTTACTTCAAGGTCGTGACAGAAATCAGACAGACCCAGGTCTCCTTTCTGTCAACTCTGGGCTTCTTCCACTAGCCCAGGCTGATGCCCAGAAAAGTAAGACAAGGAGATTTTAAAAGAACACCTTAGACCCTCATTCATGTGCTGCATTCACTCTCTTCTTTCTGGATTATGTTGTGGCTTCCAGAATTCATTCACCTTCTTCCCCATCTAGTCCCAGTTCTGTTACATTAGGCTCACGGTGCACTGGCTTGTGTGGGCAGCTGCAGTGGAATTAGCTAAGTGACATTTTCGCCTCTCCTTTCAGGACCGCCTCTTTTTTGTCATGGAGTATGTAAACGGTGGAGATCTCATGTTCCAGATTCAGCGCTCCCGAAAATTTGATGAGCCTCGTTCCCGGTTCTATGCTGCAGAGGTTACGTCAGCCCTCATGTTCCTCCACCAACATGGAGTCATCTACAGGTAGCTAATTTCTCCTCCGCTCTTTCCTTAAAGTGAAAAAATAAAGAATGCTCCAGACAGACGCTTGAACTGACTTTGGCTCCCGCCCAGCTGGTCTCTTAGCAACCCGCTTTAGATTAGTTGTTTGTTCCAGTTTGCTTACAGAGGACTTTTTGGGGGTCTTTTTTATCACTGTGAATGTTAGGTTTGAATAGCCCCAGGAGACCCACTGTTTGTGCCATTTTTGATTGAAAGCCCAGAACGACGTTGTAAAGGCCTGGAGCCCAACGACCTTGAGGTGACCTTCTTTTCTGTCTCTCCCCACCCTCTTCCTTCAACATCAGGGCATTCTCTTTACTTTTTCCTCTGTGCCATGAACTTCCTCTCCTTCCCAACATCTTGCCACTTCCTGAGTTTGTTTGGCTTCGTTGTCTCTAGCAGATAGAATCAGAGAAGCTGGAGTTGCTTGGGGGTCTCAGGGTTTATGATCCGGGTGGAGGAGGGAAAGGGAACTAGACAATATCCAACAGGAAGTGACTCTCTGCAGATCATCTAGTCCCTTATTACTGCCCTGTCCCTCTTCCAAGAAAACATGGGACACACACACACACANGGACACACACACACACACACAGACACACACACACACACACACACACACACACACACACACACACACACACACACTAATTTTCCAGTAAGGGAGCAGGCCTATTTACGCAGGCTCTTTTGTGAGGTCAGGAATTCTGGGAGGACTAAATATTTATAATTAGCAACAAGGACACTAAAGTCCCTTAAAGTTTTTTCAACGACTGTGAATTTCTTGGTGTTTGCTTCCTACTTGCTTGCTCGCTCGCTCGCTCGCTTTCTTTCTTTCCTTTTTTTAATTGAATAGAAGAATAGCTGGTTTGGTTCAACACAGAATGTAGTCACTCACCAGAACTTCACTGACCTTCCCCTGAAAGCAGTACCCTAACGAAATGGTATTTGTTACTCAGGGGCTCTGACCAACCCCCACCCCAGGCTTCCTTTCCTACTGACATCTCTGAGCTGCTGTAACTTCAGCTCAAAAATAGTCAGACTCATCTCTGAGTCTATAACTTCAGCTAAGGCCTGAATCCCCACCCCACCCCCCCTTAAAAAGGATCATGTGATCAGATCAGGCATACCCAGGATAAATCTCCCTTTTGTTTAACTCAAAGTCAGATGATTAGGGACCTTCGTTATATCTACAAAATCCCTTTGCCCGCTATGTGTCATGATAGATCATGACAGTGATATCACATCACCTTTTTCCACATTCTTTTGGTTAGAAATAAGTCACAGTTTCCACCAAACTCAAGGGAAAGGGGTTATGGAATTATGCCAGAATATGACTCACTGGGGAATCACCCTAGGTTTTGTCTGCTATGGGCCAGTACTTCTTTCTCTCCTTCACTTCCCACAACACCTTGTTTTGAACCCACCAAGGTTCTTAGCTTTCTTTCAAACTCACCTGCCAACTCCAAACTTTCATGTCCAGCCCAGAAGCCTCATGCAATAATACCGCCTGCTCGCATGAAGCCTGGTCCCACCAGCCAGAGTGAGTCTCTCCATTGCCCACACTTCCACTTGCAATTTGGGAATCAATTGCAATTTGAGGCTTTCATCGTGTCACCTACCACTGTTCACCTGGTGTTGCAGTTAGGCATCCGTGTGGATCTAAGTTGCATACTCTCTTAAGGGCCATTTCTTCTTTTTTTTTTTTTTTTGTTAAGGCCTCAGTCTTCTTATTCTGCATGCTCTTCTGTCTTGCACAATGTAAATAGTCAACAAAGGACCATTGACTTCAGTTAGATTACAACCCTTATCTCTGCCCCCAAAACAGTTTACAAGCTAATTAGAGATACAGGATTTAGCTATGCAAAAAGATCACCGTACTACAAGGCAGTGCATCGTTAGGTGCCATGACATAGAGAAGAATTGTCATTTTTGAGATGCTATCCCCATTATCATTCCTATCAGAGTGGGTATAATCATCCACAGCTTACTAGCAGGGATTCTGAGGCACACCTTAAATAATTTGCCCGAGGCCATCCTTGGTAAGTGCCGGACGTCGGAAGTGTAGCTGACCGATCTACAAGCTGGTGCTGTACACCATGACACTTGTCACCCTGCCTTTTCAAGCCCAAGTACAAACTCTTTAGCTTGTCATTCCAGGTATTCCAAAACTTGACTTTCCCTTGCATGTCTAGTTCTCTTCCCCTTTCCGCTTTCCTGAATGAATGCTTCCCTCCCACCAGTCCTGTGAACAGTTTTGTTTTACTGGCTCCTATGAGCCATACTTTCTGCCTCTCCTCCCCACCTCCCTGACCATTTCTCCGCGATCTTTATATCACCTGTCCTGGCTTCTTCTTCCCATCCTCTGAATGCTGGTTTTCCCTAGGGTCTTCATCCCACTTTCTACTTACCCTAAACCCTCTCTCTGAGCATTGGAGCATTTGCATACCCTCAAATGACTCCTATGTGCCAGCAACTCCCGTATCACTCTATATCCAGCCCTCAGTTATCCCTAGAACCCCAAACAAGATCCTTCTCTCAAACCTCTCTCTCACGACTTGACCTTTAAACCTTCTTCCTTCTTCCCTGGCTGGTTTGCAATAGTTGACTGGACTCACTGCTTCTTAGTTTTCTGCCCTTCTATCTATCCACCTCCCCTCTAGTGTTGCTCAGTTGTCTTTCAAAGCGCAGGCTAATTGTTACGTGTTCCCTTTCTTCACATCCCACAGCCCTTGTAAGATAAAGCACCGTCCCGTTCACTGGCCTTCAGCCTCCCTCATACCCTGGCCCTGAGGCGGCTGTGCACAGCTCTGTGGTTTGGGTACCACACAGATGTGGAAGACACAGGCAGTAAGTGGAAGGTGGAGCTCACTCTGCTTGCATGGCTGGCTTCTACCCAAGAAAGGGGTGCTTTTTCTACCCAGAGGCGATGCCTTTTTGCGTTTCTGACAGACTCAAAGCATGTTAACAGGGCTGAGGTGGCCCGCAACAATCCTTTGACCTGTATTATAATTCCCCCAACCATGTACCCCACCCTCTAGGCACTCCAAATTATTTGACATTCTCCCCCAAATACCATTCTCTTTCATTTCTCTGAGCCTTTGTCCCCACTGTTCCTTGATTTCCCTTGTTTCTATTCTGTGTCTTGATCAGTGAGTAGTTCCCAGTTCACATCCATGGTCTTACTGGCTCAGAGTTCCTGGTTTTAAAAATATGTAGATTCCATAATACTGGGGGAAGGAGAGTTGATAAGGAGATAGGCAAGAAAAGAATGGCCATGAGTTTACGATTGCTGGCACTGGGTGGTGCTTACATGTGGTCTCACTGTTTTGTCTACTCCTGTGTATGTTTTAAATTTTCCATAATAATAATATTTTTTAAAAGAATAGTGATTCCAGGGTAACATTCCTAGAGCTCTTGATTCAGTAGGTCTTAGTACGGGGTTTCGGAATCTGTATTTTTTTACAGCATTCCTCAGGTGATTTGGGGACCCAGGTCTAGAAAACTTCCATTCTGCCTTCAGGACTATGTCAAGTGGCCCTGCTCTGTGGGCCTTTTCTGACCATCGAGCCTGTCGTGGAGGTGATTTGCTTTCCCTGAGCGACATGACAGCTCTTTGTACCAGGTGCTTAGCAGCTGCCCTTTGCTAACCCTGTATTTTGACTTGAGCTAACGCCACATGAGAGTGCTCATCTAATTGGCCTGGGACAGCACCTTCCTTATAGTGGGTGCTCGCTAATATTTGTTCTTCTAGTCTATATAACTCCAGAGCTTTCCAGTCCAGTGGGTGGCTACGTCATAGGTGTGTACTTCTTAAAATTCTGTGTTGGAAGTACAGTAATACCTCAGTTTGTGAGTATAATTCGTTCTGGAAACAAACTACTCATATTGCAATATCTCGCTCGTTTACCCAGTTAAAATGTATTATTAGAAATGTTTGCTCATCTTGCAGAACACTCCCGAACCAAGTTACTCGCAATCCAGGGTTTTACTGTATTCCTAACATAGAACACAGTTTTTCTCCCCTGACCTAAAAGGCTCCCCATTTCTTCATCTCTCTCATTTTATGGGTTGATGAGGACCATGTGGTCTCTATTTCCCATGATGCTTTGCTGTAAGCTGCCGGCGGAAGGGCTATTCCGGGTAAGTAGTCTGCAGCTGCCCTACGAGGCTATGAGTATGTGTGCCTGCCTAGTGGCTGTTCTGAAGCCCAGGCAGAGACCATATTTTGTGTGCTACAGGGGTTTATTTGAGAGATTGACAAAACCAGGTTTTGGGGAGAACCTCATTGCTGAAGCTGAAACTGAGTTGTCCTGTCTTCCTTCTGGAATTTACACATAAACGAATTAGCAGTTAATTGGCCAGTGTTCAAGAACTTAGGGAAGAAGTCATTTCTGCGGCTGGTGGCTCACACTTGAAGGAGAGCCCAAGCTGACAGGTGTGGCCCCCTCTCCTCTGGTGCCTCTCTGGATCAGGTTCCCCAACCCGGGCTGCACAGGGCACTCTCTCTGTGTCCCCTGCCCTGTGTTCCTGGGACTCCTCTGTGCAGTACGGCAGAAGAAGACATGAGCTCACTGTGTGTCCACTCTTCCTAACTATGGCTTTTAAAAACCTCTACCCCTCCCTTACACGTTCACACACACCATGAGAAGTGGAGGTTTTGAAGGGTGGGCCTTCTTTCTGAAGGTGATTCAGGGAACTCTTGTCTCCTCTACCTCATGCTCAGTGCATCTGATTTTCACTGAGCTGCTCAATAGCAGCAGCTGACTCTCTGAGAGCATTCCTCCGTCCATGCGACGCAAAAAAAGGGAGGTTGTATGATCCACCTCAGAGAGAGGGCAGCCAGAGGCCCTGGAAAGAGAACCAAAGGCTTGGCAGGCAGGAATGTATCTTCTTCTTTCACAACCCAGAAGCCAGGAGTCCTGTCACAGAGCATGGTGAAGAGCATGAGCTCTGCCACCCTGGCCAGTTGCCTTAACGTT